GATGAGCTTTGTAAAAATCTATGCGTTTCAGAAAAGTGGGGCATAGAGGGGAAACAATAATGTACAGTATGTGGAAAATAATGTATTTTTTTAACCTTTTAACCAATTTTTTAACCGCATAAACATATTTCATTACACCAAATACACAAAATAATGTTCTTTTTAGCAGCATCATATGACCCCTTTAATAATATAACTTGTAATTTTTATGTTTTATATTAGATTAATATTAATATGAATAATGATTAATTCAGTAATATAAAAATATCTATTTATAATATATAATATATATTCACACACACACACACACACACGTGTGTGTTTGTGTGTGTATACAGTTTTGTCTTGTTAAGAAATTAAGGCATTTAAGTAGAATCAACAGACTTAGCTCATAAGAACAAAAATTTAGTCTAAAGTTTGACTGGTCGTGTATGTGTCTGAAAAAAATTATATTCAAAAATTCACACCATGTATTTTAAGCTGTGTTCAGAGGTGTGCAGATGCTGATGTGTGTGTGTGTAGGTGATAAACGTGGATGATGACGGTAATGAGCTGGGCTCGGGTGTGATGGAGTTGACGGAGGAAGAGCTCATTCTGCACACGCGCAAACGAGACGCCGTGAAGTGGCCCTACCTCTGCCTGCGTCGCTATGGCTACGACTCCAACCTCTTCTCCTTCGAGAGCGGCCGGCGCTGCCAAACCGGCCAAGGTGAGCAGATATATTAGGCATCCGCTGACAGATCCACTGAAAGACGCTCAAACGCTCACGTTTGCTTCAGTGTGAGCCGCACTCAACGAAGACTGTGAAGCGATGATCATTGTAGCCAATCACAGACATATCTGTTGAGCACATGAACACAGTGGCCATCAACGGTGTTAAAGAATCCACTCAACAGCACTTAAATTCTAGCGGGAAATGCTAGTATCGTCTCGTTTTTTAAATTTCGGTACCAAAGTCGGTACTTTTTGACACCCCTGCTATCAGATATGGTTGTCATTCACATTCATACTTCACTCTTCTCCTCAAAGGGATATTTGCGTTCAAGTGCGCGCGGGCCGAGGAGATCTTTAACATGCTGCAGGACATCATGCACAACAACAGCATCAGTGTGGTGGAGGAGCCGGTGCTGGAGCCCGAGCTTCCAGTGACACCTCACACTCCCACCAGTAAGAACACACACACTCCAGTGCTCACGCTCAGACTGGAGGCTCTCACTGACCCCTCCACTGCTCTCTCTGCAGCTCCTGGTTACTCTGTCCCGACGGTAGCCAATGGGATCGGTCGCTACCCGTCATTCGGCGATGCCTCCTCGCGGCCTTCCAGCCGTCACCCTTCAGTGGGCAGCACTCGCTTACCGTCAGTAGGGGAGGAGTCCACACACCCACTGCTGCTCAACGACGAGACGGTACGCAACACACGCTAACACTTAACTACATTTTTTATATTTTATAATATTAAATAATATTGAAATAAATAAATTATTGTATGTTTTATATATGTTTTATATTATATTATGTATTAGGGTTTTTTTTTGTATTTCAGTAGTAAAGTATTTTTTATATTTTAAGTATTAAGTATAATATGGATTTATTATTGATTGAGTGATTGATTGATTTAAGTATTATATATTTTATTGTGTCCTTTTTAAATTGATAATTTAATGCCGTTTTGGCAGCAAATTTCTTGCAGACAAGTGCTGCTCATATTTCATAAGAAACCATAAAACTCTAGTTTATCTTTTTCCGTTTCTGATGACCGATGTCTGTGCAGGTGCACACTTACGTCAACACGACGGGTCTACAAGAGGAGCGGCGCTCTCGCGGCTGTGGCCACGCCCCTCTCGAGCTCCGGACGTCCAATCCAGAGACCGCAGCCCCAGCATCGCCCAATGAGCTAGAGCCACGCGTGCTTCTGGAGCCGGAGGCTGTGAAGTTTGTTTTAGGCCCCACGCCTATCCAGAGACTGCTCCAGGAGAGACCACGAGAGCTGGGCGAGCAGGACACGGGAGCGGCGGGCCCAAGTACTGACGCCGCTTCTCCCACAAAAACTGTAAACGGCGGCACGGACTGCGACACGGGCTACGACAGCGATGAGCGCAAGGAGACGCAGCATGAGACTCATAATGGCGGAACCGGAGCGAGACGCAACAGACCTCCCATTCCACTCCCAGACGCACCGCCGCCATGTCCAGCCTGCAGAAAGCACAGCCGCGGGACGACGGCACATCCAGGAAAACACGACACAACAGTACTGACCTGCCCATGTGACCCAATGTTTATCTCTCCAAAACACGTCTAGGTCACATTTCACTACTGAATATAAACACATAAATCATTATATTCCAAATTAAGCCTGTTTTATACATGCAAACTCAAAATAATTACAATTTTTCACCAGTCTCACCAAAGCTGCATTTATTTGAACAAAAATAGAGGGAAAAAATGTGAAATATTATTACAATTTTTAAAAAATACAGTAAAAACAGTAATATTGTGACATATTATTACTATTTGAAATAACTGTTTTCTATGTGAATATCTGTTAAAATATAATTGATTGCTGTGATCAAAGCTGAATTTTCAGCATCATTACGCCAGTCTTCAGTGTCACATGATCTTCAGAAATCATTCTAATATGCTGATTTGCTGCTCAATTATTATCAGTCAATACTGGTGCTCAGTTATTAGTAATAGTTCATATTATTATCAATGTTTTTGTTGCTTAATATTTTTGTGGAAACCATGATACATTTGATTTATCACAATTCTTTAATGAATAGAAAGTTCAAAAGAACAGCATTTATTTGAAATAGAAATGACCCGCAAACCCAACAGCGAGGCGGAGGACGAGGAGGAACTCAAATCTCCGTCTCTGAACGGCTTCCACTCCCTCGATCACAACTACGTGAACACGGAGAACGTCACGGTGCCACTCAGTGCACACAAACTCCACAGCACTCAGCCCACCGTATTCAACTTCGACCTCCGCAGGCTCGGCCCGCTCCACTACATCGAGGA